CGCTTCAAAATGTCTGAACAATTGCTAACATCTTCTACAACAGTTATTTCATCATGACTGACCTTCAAGAACAAGCTCATTTAATATGCAATTAAAATCATCTCAATAATGAGTCCATCCTTTCCATCTTTAGGTAGCACAACATCTTTCATTGAAGAAGGTTCGACAAGTCTTATGTTAAACTTACTGACAAAGTTTGTTATACTATAATGCTTCGGTGGCGAATACATGTAGTTTGAAAGACATAATATAGATTCTTCAGCAAATTCACTTATACTGGATTTTATAACAATGTTCTCACGAGACCAAATACCACCAATTGACAATCTTGTAAGCAATCCTGCTGAACCTTCTACTGTAAACATCGATGGTAACATTCCACGAAGGTCATCTATTGACATCGTTGAGTCACTGAATTTAAATATTTTCTTAAAGCAATCGTCATTATCTAACCATGCAATAGCTTTGAAGTTTTCATTCGAATATACATCTGCTTCATTAAATGTAAAACCTGACTTCTTTGCAGAGATGACTTTAAAATCTATTGAGTTTGTTTCAAAATTATATGCTATGGTAACTTCTGAAGGTAATGGATGCCCTTCCGCAGTAGTTGTTCTCTCACTACCGTTTGAAGCTTTGTGTTAAAAACTTTCATGTCATCTCCTGTGTCTAGGTTCACATACACAGCAATGGGAAAACTATCTTGCTTCTTTGTTTCATCATTATACCTCAAAACATTAAAGTTCTTCAATAATATTGTCCTTCCTGCTGGAATACTTCGAACCTGTCTGATTTCAATAGCTTTCTCACCTCCTACATACTCTACCCAGTGTCTTGGATATTCATAAGTATACTGACTTTCTTGAATTTTGGTTGGTTTCATCATAACGTGTTCATAGTATATCTTTATACTCTTGTCAGTTAGACTCGGTGCTATGTTCTGAATATTTCTGACTTGCATTTTTAATGGAGATAAAATGAAGCATTTAATACATGACGTAGATGAAGACATGAATGAAACTACAGACAAACTTAACTCTTCTCTCATTCTTCCTTTCAGCAAAGATTATGAATTCTGTTCAAATGGTGTGTATTTCTATTGTGGAAAGATGGGTTCAGGTAAGACATTTAACCTCATTCGTCATATACTCATAACAGAGCGTTTAGGTCAAGATTCATATTATGACCAAATCATTATATCAGCAACTTCAGACTCTATGGACTCAACAGCGAAAACATTTATGTCAAAAGTTCAAGCATCTGTCGTTAAAGTTCCAGATAGCGAACTCATTGAATTTCTTCAACGTTACGTTCGACGTAAGAGGAAATATTATGCCATCGTTGAATTTATACAGTCAGGAATGCAAAAGACTTCAGAAGAGATGGAAAGAATTATTGACAAACACCACTTACGTCAATACTCAGGAGTTTACGATATGAAACGACTTACAAACTACATTCTGTCAAAACTTTCAAAATACCCCTTCAAAAAGTATCCTTCAAATACTCTGCTCGTTTGCGACGACTTCGCCGGAAAAGGTTTAGTGTCAAAGCCTGACTCACCATTAGCTAACATCATTACTAAAGTCAGACATTACCACTTAACTGTAGCAATACTTATGCAAACATGGCGTTTTTTGCTTTAAACATAAAACGTCTCATAACTGACTTCGTTATCTTTCAAGGTTTCTCACGTTATGATATTGAACTCATTTGGAAACAGTCAGGTATAACATTACCTTTTGAAGAAATTTGGGAAGCATATAAGTCTCTCATCTCTCCTCGTTCATACCTTGAGATTCATATCATGACTAATACCATTAAAGTCAAAAATATTCCATGGGAACGACCAACATTGTTTTAAAAGTTTAACCTTCAATTGACTGATGGTAAACAAATTCCATGCATCTCTGTCGCCATTTCTGTTAATATTTTTGCTGTCATTCATATCATCCACTTCCCCATCCGTTAGCTTTTGAGGATATGCGTTAGAATAGCTGTTCTTAAATGAAGGCTTTTCACCTTTGAGAGCATAAACTCTATAACTTTCTGCATACTTTATGTTTGAACCTCCTGAGCCATCATTGACATAAATTTTTATAGGCTTCCACCCTTTGTTCATGTTCCTGCTTCTTCCCTTAGCTCTTTTGTTCAGTAGTTCTACATCTTTATACACAGCACCTGTCTCAGTGAATTCAACAATATTTTCATTCGTTAGCTTTACATTCAAACCCTTGTCGAGTATATTGTTCATTTCATACATATAAAAGGTTTTTATTCTATATGAAATGAGAAGCAAATCCATCTTAGCTGGTGCCGTTAATGTTGAACCAACATCAAATGTTGACTCACGAACGACAAACAATATTGTCATAAAGAACTATAGTTCAGAGTGTTTGAAAGAAAAAGAACCAGAACTGAAATCCGTGAATTTAAACTCAGCTTCAAACGCTAACGCTACATCAGATGTTAAGTTAGAGTATCCACCACTGGACCAAATTCTTTCAAGAGAAGCCAACGACAACCCTTACACAAATGTTCAAACAAATCCTTCAGATAACGTAGACCATTACCTTCTTCAGTTATACCAAACAATTTTACTCAAAGACGATAAGAAGCTTTTGACAAATCTTATAAGCAAGAACCAAATAATTCTAACAAAGGAGGACCTTGAAAATGTTATATCACGAATAACAGGGAAACAATGTGTCATTGACTATCTCGACCCTGAAATCGAATGCTGTGGTCAAACGCCACCATTCATGAAAATAGGTAACATCCGCATCATTGAAACACCAGGAACTACAGGAGTTGAGTTTAAGTATAAATATTCGAACGAGTATACAAAACTTTCAACAGAATATAAGCTTTGTTTGAAATATGTTTTAGTAAATTAAAGCAATTTGTAATATCTATCCAAAACTTCTTCAACAGTATCGAACTCATCTTCATAATGCAAACCTAATCTTATTGACTTGGTGCAGTTTTCACTAACACAATATAGCGCTTTGCGCTCGGCGCCTTTGACGCCTTTTTCTGTTCTCTTGACTGACATAACTAACTCATTTGTTTCATCAAACAGCAATAACCAAAGTTCATGACCTAATACATAACATTCATACTTTATATTTTTAGCTCTGAGTTCTCTTGTAAGCTGTTGCATTTAATATTTTCTAAAAAGTCAACTTCAACAGTCATTCGCACTGGTGCCTTCAGTTCTACAGGCTCTCCTTGAAAGTCAACAAGTCTGAATTGCATGTCTTTCAAATTATGAGGACTAATGCGAACCCATTTACCTAAATGAGTTACTATGACAGGAACGTTTGGAATGAACATTGAATTGACTGCATAACAGAAGGATTTATATTCTACTGAACCTTTACTATTAACTCCTGAAATACCTGTGACATTAGCTATTTTTGACTCAACGTATAAACAATTACCATAACATACGTATGGAACAGATTTCATCTCAATCGTTTTGTCAACACTTTTCAAAGGACATGTCATATGGTATGCTCCCAGAAGCAATTGAACTCTATGACTCATTCGTGTTATCTTAAACTCCTTCGCATAACTGAACTTCAAAACTCCTGCAATAAGTTTAACATTCATTAAGTTTTCTTCGTTCTCCTTGTTTATTGTAGTATTTATGAGCGCATTTAACACTCCAGCTAATGTTTCCATCTTATATTCTACATTATTGTGAAATCTTATTTCGTGCTTCTTTCCATCTATTTCAAGCTCCATGAAATCTGTTTCATCTGTTATAACGAATGAAGCGATAGTATTGAAGTCAACAACTCTGAAAGCAAGCGCTTCATTCTGAAGACCTAAGTTTGTTTGTAGCTTTACTGTCCCGTATTCGTTTGGGTCTGTACTTTGCAAATAGAACAACATTTTATTCTCATTAAAATATGAGTATTGCTGCATATGCGTATGAAGCTGACAGAGCTAAACGTTTATATTTTGGTCAATACTCTCTCACACTTACTGACAAATATATTGTTATTTCTGATGGAAATACCGAGAAATACATAACATGGAAGGACTATGAAAAGTTTGACCCTATTTTAACTCCATGCACTATGCCATTCATTGTAAATGGTGAAGTTGTCATGAAGAACGACACAACTGTTTATAGGTCTGTATATGAAGCGTTAGAATATATGTTGAATTATAATCCCGAAAGATTTGACCCAAGCACTACGTCATGTACAATGCCTTTTATTAAGGATGGTGAAATCGTAAGAGTTCCGAATTCAACGGTTTACACAGCTGTTCAAAACAGTTTACAAAACATTTTAGCGAATATCTTTAATTCAGAAACTACAGAAATAAAATTACCATATATAACAGATGCTAAAGAAATTAAATCAAAAACGACAACATTATTTACGTCACTTAATGATTTAATGACTTATATCATTAATATTCCTGCACCAACTACAGCATTTGATCCAAACTCGACGGTTTGCAGTGTACCTTTCATAAAGTCGCAAACGGACTCTTTGAGTCCTGAAGGTCTTTCAGACCGAAGCGACCAGGGCGAAGCCCATGACAGTTCATTAATTGTTTTAAGGGATTCAACAGTTAATGAATCATTAAAGGCGTCATTAATGAAAATCATTGATTTTAATTCATTCACGAATACATATAATTCATTCATTAATGTTTCATATGCTTCTAAAGAAGGTGAGCCAAAAACTATCGATAAAGCGGTGTATGAAATAAAAGCATCAACGACGAAATTGAATTCGTTAACTTTTGACGGTGATAGTTTCGTTAATGACATAACATCGGGGAAAACAATTTTAACGAAAGAATATTTAAAATCTCATGTTAGTGAGTTCGTTGAAATTGAAAAAGAAGGTGGAATTAAGTTCGATCCACTGAATTTCATTTTCAGCTTAGCGAATGCGGGTGTTAGTTTCGCTGAATGGACAACTATACAGAGTGAAATAAATGCAATATGGACGTTTTTGGGGTCAAAAGCGGGAATGGGTGAGCTTGTAAATGCTGCAAGAACATTAGGTGAAACAGGAAATTTTGTAGATGGTTTTAAAAGACTTGTTTCAAATGTTTTAACAAACACAAAGAAATTATTTAGATATACCATACATAACGGACGGATTTTCGAACAGGTAGCAACAAACCCTCCGGTTATGGCTGCGTTGATGATGGTTAGAGATATAAAACCACGTAACGACGGGAACGAAGAACATGAACAACAGAGCCCAACGGGCTCAGAGCCACATAGTGGCGAGGATACTGGTCGGGTTATTCAAGACATTAAAAACGTGTATCCTGAAGTTATTGATTTATTTAGAGGAGTTAATGATTCAATTTCAAAACATTCTATAACCCTCGATGAAGAGAATAAATTAACAGATTATATATTCGTCATTATTGCAGAATTAATGAAGAGAATAAATGAAAAAGGAATTGGTGATATCATTAATGTCAGCGATGTAATGATGAAAAGAAATTTTGACTCATTATTTACAAAACCGAAAACAGAATATAGTCTTTATGACGTAATTACCGAATTAATGAAAAAGATTAATGATAATAAGAGTTCTGGCGGAAGAGTTGAATTAGAAGTGAATGATGTTAATGAGAAATTAGCCGAAAAAGCAGATAAAAACCACGTTCATTATATAACTTCAGACGAACAGATTATAACGGACTACCATGGATATTTAACACGAAGTGATGAAGCGAAGACAAAAAATGTTAATGAAAGAAGATATAAATACATTCGTGCTAAAGGTTATGACATAAGCTGTACTGTACAGTATGACACAGGTAAAGCACCAGAAGCATTTAGTTATAACGATGAAATTTATGCCTCTACTTTCTCTGTTAATGGTGTATTAGTTGAACCAAGATTTATGTTAAGAGTTAAGGCAAAAATAACGTTTGAAGATGCTATTAAAAGTAAAGCTGACAAAGTTGAACTTGACGCAACGAACAAAGTTTTGAAATCTCATAAACACAACATCTCCGATATAAATGAACTTCAAACTTCTTTAGACAGTAAAGCTGACAAGAACCATACACATAAATCCTTCACTACTGTTAGAGCAGACGACATAATATTGAACTTTGACCTTGGTTCAAGTGCACCATTAGAAAATCCAAGTACAAGCGTAAAAGATACTCTTAACAGTTTAGATAACAGTTGCAGGAACATTGAAAGTCATGCCAGAAACTTTGAAGCACATGAACTACCAGCAATGTTAGATAAGAAAGCAGACAAGAACCATACACATAAATCCTTCACAACTGTTGCTATAGAAAGTATTGAAGGAACGGTTGAAGAAACTGGTGGGGATGCATTATATTGTAAACCTCCTAACTTTCCACAAGGTTTAACATCGGATGACGACATAACGACGATGAGAAACATTAGATGTAAAGATGTTTATGTCATGAAGGATGAACATAATATTAAATTCACTGCTCAAGATTTATATGACAAGAAAGCAGACAAGAACCATACACATAAATCCTTCACTACTGTTAGAGCAGACGACATAATATTGAACTTTGACCTTGGTTCAAGTGCACCTTTAGAGAATCCGAGTACAAGCGTAAAAGATACTCTTAACAATTTAGATAAGAGTTGCAGGAATACCGAAGATCATGCCAGAAACTTTGAAGCATATGAACTACCAGCAATGTTAGACAAGAAAGCAGATAAAACTTATGTGGATGCAGAACTAACAAAGAAATTTTCGAAACCAGATACAATGACATTTACAACAGAAATTATAAATGGTGAACCAGCAACTCCATTTGAATTTGTTAGAGGTCTTCAACCAGATACTTTTGAATTTTTCTTGGATAATTCTATTGAACTAACATTACATTATAAAAGTGGAACAAATGCAACATTTCATCCGGGAGATACATTCCAAATGGTATTTAATGACATAAGTTCTTTAGAATATGTTTATAGAGTTATGAGCATATATGATTTAATATATCCTATAGGAGCTGTTTATACGTCTATGAATCCAATAAATCCAAACACTTTATTTGGTGGTAGATGGTATGAAATAGTTGACAGTTTTCCATTCTACACTAATACGCAGTCAATGAAGATGGGAGGTTCAAAGAAAATAGGTATTGAAAACCTTCCTTCACATATGCATAGGTTCAGTGGAAGAACATCTGTGGAAGGAAACCATTCACATTCAATAACAAAAAGAGGTTATACAAATCTTGCAGCGGGTTCGGATAGACAGGGAATGCATAGATATGATATCACAACTGACCCCAAAGATGTTAGCACAGGTATTTTCTGTGGAACTGCAGGAAATCATACACATGTTGTAGCTGGTATTACAGACCCAGCAGGTAATGGAAAAGATTATATGCCTCCTTATATAACAATGCACGCTTGGATACGAGTTGGTTAAAATCTTTAACTTTACATAAATGAGCTTGAAAGAAGTATTCGAACAACATCCATGGAGGTCATTTAAGAAGTTCAATGAAGCTGCAAAGAGTTCGGGATTTACTAACAGAGCTGAAGTGAAAAGGTTCTTTGACAAAAATGTTGTACATCAAACAAAAATAAATCCTTACGACTACTTTTTACCAATTTACTCCAACACTCCTGACGCATACCAATTTGACACTCTCATTCAAAGCAGAAAAGGAGGACATAAACCATTCCTCATCTTCATAAATGTTAACACTCGTAAAGCATATGCGTATATAATGAGAAATAAAGGAACTCATGAAGTGTTAAGAGTTTTACAAAAGTTTGTAGCAGAACATAGCCCAAGTATTTTAACATCAGACCAAGACGGTGCATACCTCAGCAACGAAATCACAGAATTTCTCATTAAGCATAACATAACTCACTACACTACTGAAGACCATAACCATAACATACTCGGTATCATTAACCGCTTCATAAGGACTCTCAGAGATTTAAATCAAGAGCGAGACTTTACCGAAGAAACAATGAAACATTTTCTCGAAGTATATAATTCCTCAACACATTCTACAACAGGACATACACCAAATTCAATGACACAACAACAAGAAGAAAAGTATATACAAAAGAAACGAAGCCAAACACAAAATATCAGAAATTCAACACAATTTACTCTCATTCCTGGTACAAAAGTTCGTGTAGTTCTTGACGACAAACCATTGACAAAGAAACGTTTAAGGTTAAGTCGAAATTATTATATCGTAGACTCTACGCAAGGTAATGGATATCTTATAAAAGCTGCTGACGACTCCATAGCATTTTACCCTCGACATAAATTAGTCGAAAGTAGTAATGGCAAACTTGCTGAAACCATTGACGAAGCAAAGCGAGGAGTGGTTATTGAAATACTTGACTATAACACAAACGATGACACTTATAAAGTAAGATATGAAGGAGGCGTTGAAGATGTTATACCATCTAAGAACTTGAGAGAATCTAAACCAACTCATCTGGGACCATTAGAGCGGGAGTACTGGAAAGATAAAAACATGCCAGAAAGAAATAAGAAATTC